AATCAATTAATCCACCGCCTTGGTTTAATTACTAGTTATAAATTTGCGATGGATGACAAAGCGGATTGGTTTTTCCCTTGACACCGAACATCAATCAGCTGGACTTCCTGTTTCAGCTAGATTTTATTATGGAGACGGAAGAAGATGACCCGTCCACTTTCTCACCACCTTCAATTTTAACACCGTGTTCTTTTAAGGTTTTTTTTCCAATCTGATTAAAACACAGATTCTATTTCGTTTCGTTTTTTTATAGTTCAAAATTTCGTTTTACTTGTCTCCAAAAAATGTTTTTTTAAGTGCAGTAGACTCTTGTCACTTCCGACATCTGAATACTCCGACATTCTATGAAATCCGTCATCATTTTCATATCCCAATTTATTTCCTGATTACATCAACCAAACAATTTGAGTAGTCTATATTAACTTGGAAAACGTACCTTTTCCTATGCTGGAACTTATTATTATTATTATTATTAAACCCTCTTGTTCGCTTTTAATGTCGGGTCAAACATTAACATTAAAGTGTAGTGTTTTATGTATTTCCCGGTTCATAGCTTTCACTAATGATACCAATAGAGAGATTTAACAGAACGTTTGCCCTGAAATGGCCGTATTCTTATTAATAATTAATGTTCATAGCGCATTCTGTTTAAAGTATAATTTACCTTTTGGTACTGGGTTTCTTGTTCGATGACTTTTGTCAAACTGTCTGAAAGATGAGTTTAAAGCAAGGTTTGTAGGCAGCTGTGGTAGGGGCATGGGGGTTGGATGGCCGAATGACTAGCGCGTGCGCGTTGTATCATAAGGTCTGTCATTGGATCAACTGGCGTGGTTTCGATTCGATTCCCCGGCTGTACGTGATACGGACTTGAAATCCATATACGGCATTTAGTAACTGAACATATGATATAAAACATAAATTTATATGGAAAACAATCACTGGGTTTATTTCACACTGCGTTTCAATAAGTTCGTCTTGTTCAACTTATTGAAACGCCGTGTGAAATAAACCCAGTGATTGTTTTCCATATAAATTTGTGTTTTATATCTTGACTTAAAATTACGTAAATCGAAACATTCAATAAACAAATGCTGTAAATCTTCAGTCTCCACCTTACTTACAGGACACACATCATCATCAGTTTTACCAATTCTAGTAATTTGGACTTTGTCCATACTATATTGTGGGCTATTTTGTAATCCAATTCGACCATTTTAAGATCTTTAAACCACAGAAAGACATTTTTCCAGTGGACATTAAGATTAGGATTTTCATAGATTGTTACACACTTGGGTTCTATAAAATGATTATCTAACAGTAAGTTATAACAGAATTTTGTTGTGAAATGAAATGAAATGAAATGGGGTTTAACGTCCTACTGTTCTGCTCCGAACTGGGCTAATGAAGACGGGCATACGCCATACAGTGTCCTATGAGGGACAGTTTGTTCGGACAGCGGCACTACGGCCTACTCTTATATCGAATTCCAACTGTCAAGGGATCTTTTACGTGCACGCCAATGTGTACGCGGGACCTCGGTTTTTCGTCCCATCCGAACGACTAGACAGCTGTCCTTGTCAGGCCCACCGTTCTGCATCACTGACAAGGGGGCACCACGCCGGAAAATCTGGATGAACTTTCTTGGCCAAAGCAGGGATCGAAGAATTTTGTAGTGAGTTGTTTGGGTAGTACAACTTGACCCTTAAGACCCTTAAGACCCTTAATAGTGAATAATTATATACTCTGGGTTCTTTCCGGTATAAGATTCAGTCAATCTGATTAAAACACAGATCCTATTTCGGTTCGTTTTTTATAGTTCAAAATTTCGTTTTACTTGTTTTACTACACTAGGATCTGGAAGAGTTGTTATATAATAGGCGTTCTTATTGATGCGAGGAATTAGCCAATGAAGCGGTCTGTTACGGCGACTTCTTGGCGTTCTCTGTGCGGAACTGTGGGTAAACTCCCAGAAACGTCAACGCTGATTGATTAATCAATGTCTTACGTCATAGGGTCAAAAGCCGCTCGTTTGACCCCTGACGTGAACTCCCTCTGTAAATTGTCAGATCTTCATGTAGTGTAGGCCAGCGAAACGAAATATAGATCTGTATTTTAATCCGACTGACATTCATTATTAATAATATCTACCCAATCTTGTGGTATAGATAATAATATATTATTATATAATTTACTTATCATATCTTTATCATGATCAGGATATTCGGAGTGTACAAATCCCCGGTTGTACGTGACAAGAAGTAGGGTCGCCTGTCCAACCTCGTGGGTTTTCTCCGGGTCCTCCGGGTTCCTCTCACTGCTAAAGACCCCTATGTGCAAGCGAATTATTGAAATAAAATTAAACCATATGTTAGTCCCGAAATGACCTAGTTTGTGTCGAATGGACGTTAAACCCCATTTCTCTCTCTCTCTATCTCCCTCCTCTCTCTCTCTCTCTCTCTCTCTCTCTCGGAGTGTATAATATCAATGATAGTGTGTACAGGCACAAAATTAGGCTTCACATAAAATATACTTATGACCAAAAGAAAGTATACACTGTGCATTTTGTGCTGCATCGACCAAAGTCGTTTTTCCATGGCATACGGTATTTGGGTAGAATGTCAATTTGTTTCACATTTTTATTTTGCTTAGAAATGTTGAGTTTGGCCGCAAGAGACAAACTCAGTAATGCTTTATCAAATGTTTTAAGATCGTGACTTAGAAAATATGTCATTGTATCTTTACAAACGGCTTTGTGTGAAGAATCAAGGTATTTTATTAACCATGTCAAACAAAAAGCATCTGATTTTATAGCTGTATTTGGAAGGCCTAAGCCGCCTACTGCTCGGCTACCGATTACAGAGTATTGTATTTAAGGTGGCTTATTGTTCCAGATATAGCTTAACACGTGCTTTGCTATTTCACCTTAAAGAAGCAAGGGATAGGGATAACTCTCGCAGTGTACTAAAGTTTAGATAACAGTAAAGACTGTATGACAACACTCTTTCCATGTTGACTCAATGACAGACCTTATGATACAGCGCGCACGTGCTAACCATTCAGCCATCTACCCCCCTACATTATTAGAACAATCCACGATTTGTACGGAATTGGTTTACAATTCGAGTTGGGTTGCCGATAGGTTTAACACGTGCGCACTAGATCATACGATCTGTCATTGAGTCAATTGGCGTGATTTCGATTCCCTTCTTCCCGTACGTGACACGGAGTAAGTCGCCTGTCCAACCTCGTGGGTTTTCTCTGGGTCCTCTGGTTTCCTCCAACTGCTAAAGACCCCTACGCGCAAGCAAGTTTTTGAAATAATATTGAGCCATATGTTATCGCCGAAACGACCTAGTTCGTGTCGAGCGGACAGTATCCCTACCCTACTACCCCTCCCCTCCCCTAACTCTGGATCCTCCGGATCTCCCCCACTGTTACAGACCACTACGCCCAAGAGAGCTTTTAAAATAATATCGAACCATATGTTATCGCCGAAACGACCTAGTTTGTGTCAAGCGGACGGTACCCCCCTCCCCACCACCCCTCTCTTATAACCCCAATTAATACTTGTTTCACCAACTGGGGGGTTGGGTGGCCGAATGATTAGCACGCTCGCGCTGTATCAAAAGGCCTGTCATTGAGTCAACTGGTGTGGTTTCTAGTCCCCGGTTGTACGTGACAAGGAGTAGGATCACCTGTCCAACCTCGTGTGTTTTCTGGTTTCTTCCCACTGCTAAAGACCCCTACGCGCAAGCGAATTATTGAAATAAAATTAAACCGTGTGTTAGTCCCGAAATGACCTAGTTTGTGTCGAGTGGACGTTAAACCCCATTCCCCCCCTCTCTCTCTCTGTTTTACAAACTGATCCGATCCTTTAATACAGTAATCACCGGCTGACTCCAATGTACATCCTTCCTATCCCGCTCAACACAATGCCTGTAACTATATATTATACTACCCATCTAACTCAGCGCATAAGTTACCTTTTACAACACACAAACAACTCTCTCATTTCCTTTCTCTAAAAACATGCATGATTTGAGAAAGCTTTTAGTACGTTCGATGCTGAGTATGAATGTATGCGATATATAGAAGAGGATAAAAATTGCATGCTATAATACGAGGCACTGTGTAAAGCTGGTAGTTATTATCTTAGTATTACAGCTTATCACGTCGTGTTACTGGTGTGATCGACTTGTACAGATCGATACGGTTTATCATATTCTTTTTATTTACAGTTCTTGTGTCTGTTGTCGCCTTCAGTTCCACAACAGATCGCGTCTCATACTAGTCTCCTTATATATAGATTACCTGACTTTTAAAAGTAAAGAGTAAGGGTGTTCTAGCGTCGTTGATAACTTGACTTTAAAAAGTGAGGCGTGAGGGAGTTCTCGCGTCGTTGATAACTGGACTTTAAAAAGTGAGAGAGTTCTCGCGTCGTTGATAACTGGACTTTAAAAAGTGAGGGAATTCTCGCGTCGTTGATTACCTAACTTTTAAAAGTGAAGAGTAAAGGAGTTCTAGCGTCGTTGATAACTTGACTTTAAAAAGTGGGGAATTCTCGCGTCGTAGATAACTTAACTTTAAAAAGTGAAAGAGTTTCGGTGTCGTGGGTTTGGCGTTTTAGTGTTCGATTGTATTTCTTCTGTGTTTGATTTGTTGACATGAAATTTTAGCCACTTCAAAAAAGTATTAAACAGTCAAAAGTTCTTTCAGGTAAACTGTAAGTTATATTGAGGCACCGTCCGATAAATGGTTCGGATTGAAAAAGCATCAACTATTGGATGTAATGTATCAATTGCTAAAGTTCTAAATTAGTTAATGGTTTTAATAATAGATACTAGTTTAATGCATCGTGTTTGAACCAATAAGTTGGAGTGCAATCAATAATTAACTAAGTTATTATTTATTATTTGACAAAAACAACAGCAAATACAGCATCTGCAGCTTTCCACTTAGTATCGACAAATGTTCAAGTCGCGTGTGCCTGAAGAGACGATTTGCCTGTCCCGAGAAATAAATTAATATTGAGATTTCGCAGAATTCGTAGGCGTGACTACGGATAACATATTACTAAGCCCGCCCTTCTGTTCACATTGAGGTAAGGATTAAGACAAACAACTCACTTTCTCTGAAGGATTCACCTGGATGATGCTACAATAGATTACAACCATTATCTAATTGTATTTTGCAGGTAAGATTTGTTGAATTATTCAGAATATTTCGGTATTTCCTCCACACAATGCCTCTATTTGACGATATTTCTACAAAATACAAACAATAGTTTGAATACTGTTATCTCCAATTATTGCTCACAAGCTGACTGGAACACTAATACAACACCATTTATTCCATCAATATTTACAGAAAGATAAAACATATAATTATGGGAACTGAAAACAAGTCGAAGCTTATATCACTTTATATCCTAAAAAATATATCTGTCACTCCGTCGTTTTAATATTTTTTTTGAATTGACGTAGTTCGAAATGTTGAATAATTTGAATTCAAGGAGTTCGTAATGTTAAAAAAAATTTGAACTATAGTAATTCGTAACGTTAAATAATTTGTATGAAAGTAGTTCGTGCGTACTGTTAATAACTTGAGTGAAAGTAGTTCGTACGTACTGTTAATAATTTGAGTGAAAGTAGTTCGTAATGTTGAATAATTTGAATGAAAGTAGTTCGTAATGTTGAATTGTTTGAAATTAAAATAGTCCGTAATGTTAAATGAAATTAGTCCGTAATTTTGATTTAATTAAACTGAAGTAATTCGTAAAGTTACATAATTTCATTACAAGTAGTTAGTTCGTAATGTTAATTTGAAGGAATACGTAATGTTAAATAATTTTAATTCAAGGAGTTCGTAATGTTAAATATATATATTGAACTGAAGTAATTCGTAATGTTAAATAACTTGGATTGAAGGAGTTTGTACGTGACGTTAAATAATTCCAATTCTTTTAGTAAGTGCAGGGGGACTTGCACCACACATAAGTACAAAAAAGAAATTTACGGACAAGACGTACACGATACGCAGAAATCACAAACAAACGAACAATTCAAATTAAATGAATGGATCCGGGGGCTAGCCGTAAGCGTCCACTGCGCGGTACAGTCCCCGGCCTGTAGTGACAAGGCCTGTAGTGATACAGACTTCACTCAAAATTGAAAAACAAACAATCAGGGGCCTGTTTCACGAAATTTTAACTAAGATAAAATCCAAATTTTACTAATTTGATTGGATAATTAATATTAGATTGATTTTAGTGCTTAGCCAATCAAGATTGAAGTATCTACTAAAATCTGGATATTATCTTTAGTTAAAATTTCGTGAAACAGGGCCCAGGAATATAACCCAGTACGCAATGTCAAATATTTTGAGGTGAAGTTGTTTGGACGTAATATTAAATATTTTTATTTCAAGTAGCAAGTTATTAGTTTTAAAAAATTGAACTGAAGTAATTCGTTTCTAATGTTAAATACAATCTTTATCATTCGTATAGTCTATAATGATGTCAATTTATTGAAAAACCGGTTATGTTTACAAATCAGATTCTGTTTAATTTTTTGAGCTTTGTCGATAATTGGATTCTTAGGTTTCGTATCCGTATCGAGGGATGTAGTGTTGAAAAATTGAACTGAAGTAATTCATTTGTAATGTTAAATAATTCTTTTTCATTCGTATAGTCTATAATGATGTCGATTTATTGAAAAACGGGTTATGTTTACAAATCAGATTCTGTTTAATATTTTGAGCTTTGTCGATAATTGGATTCTTAGGTTTCATATCCGTATCAAGGGATGTAGTGTTAAAAAATTGAACTGAAGTAATTCATTTGTAATGTTAAATAATTCTTTTTCATTCGTATAGTCTATAATGATGTCGATTTATTGAAAAACGGGTTATGTTTACAAATCAGATTCTGTTTAATTTTTTGAGCTTTGTCGATAATTGGATTCTTAGGTTTCGTATCCGTATCGAGGGATGTAGTGTTGAAAAATTGAACTGAAGTAATTCATTTGTAATGTTAAATAATTCTTTTTCATTCGTATAGTCTATAATGATGTCGATTTATTGAAAAACGGGTTATGTTTACAAATCAGATTCTATTTAATTTTATGAGTTGCGTTGATAATTAGGCCATTTCGGGACTAACACATGGTTCAATTTTATTTCAATAATTCGCTTGCGATTTCCAAATGTTTATTCGGGCACCAATGTGTTCACGGGAGGACCGCTGTGTTTCACAGCAAGACAAAGGAATGTTCCGTGGGCAAGGCGAGACAGAGAATGTTCCGTGGGCAAGGCGGGGAAGATGAATGTTACGTACCATGGTGAGGTAGAGGAATGGCCCATGGGCACGTTGAGGTAGATGAATGTTCCATGGGCAAGGTGGGGTCGAGGAATGTTCTAGGGGCAAGTCGAAGTAGAGAAATGGTCCGTGGGCAAGGCGGGGTTGTAATGTTCCGTGGGCAAGATGGGATAGGAATGTTCCGTGGGCAAGGCAGGGTAGGAATGTCCCATGCGCAAGGCAGGGTAGGAATGTTCCATAGGTAAGGCGGGGTAGGAATGTTTCGTTGGCAAGGCGGGATAGGAATGTTCCGTGGACAAGGCGGGGTAGGAATGTTCCGTGTTCAAGGCGAGGTAAAGAGATAAAAGCAGAAATAAAAATGGATGTGTTAATAATAATAATAATAACCCACTACTTATATAGCGCGATAATACTAAAACTAAAGTTGCTATTGCGCTTTTCAAGTTTTCTCTGTTGAACTACGGAAATGCTTCTTTAAACAGAAACGTCTTTAGCTGAGATTTAAATACATCTAGGGAGTCAATGGTTCTAATGTTGTAAGGCAGCGAATTTCATAAAGAGAGGATCGGAGAACGAGGAAGATCTTTTTGCTATTTCAAGATTTACTGATGGTTGATACAGAATTTTATTATCTGTTGATCTAAGGGTTCTTGTGGATTTATATGGGGTAATCAGATCTGTGATATATTTTGGTGATGGATCATGTAACGCCTTGAAAGTCAACAGTAATATTTTGAACTTGATTCGTTGTTGAACTGGGAGCCAATGTAGATTTTCCAGAATCGGGGTGATGTGGTCTGATTTTTCTTTACTTGTCAAAATAAATAAGTGTTACTATTGTCTTGAGATGTTTGCCGTTTTTTTTAGTATAATTAAAATGCGATTTGCTTTCAATCTGATTTTAATTACTTTTGATTTTAAATTTAACAACTTCCGGATCATCATTGCATTTTGATTTATGCAGTTTTTTGTGGTGCAAATATCGCCAAGCAGTTTTCTCAGTGCAAATATCGCTGTGAATTTTTCTCTTGGTATAATTTTAAGAATGGTGCAATTTTTTCTGAGCTCAGCTATCTTGGTACATGCTTCTCGGTGCAGCTGTCTTGGTACAGTGTTCTCTGAGTGCAGCTGTCTTGGTAAGGTGTTCTCTGAGTGCAGCTCTCTTGGTACAGTATTCCCTCAGTGCAGCTATGTCTTGGTACAGTCTGGATATAAAACCTTCCAATAACCTTCGACGGTCATTTTAAATTTTTTAAAGTGGTTTTTGGTCATAATGGCTGTATTCATATTTATAAGTTGGGAGCTATTGTAAACTGAAAGTTGGGAGCTAGTGTAAAACTGAAAGTTGGGAGCTAGTGTAAAACTGAAAGCTGCGAACTAGTGTAAAACTGAAAGTTGGGAGCTAGTGTAAAACTGAAAGATGGGAGCTAGTGTAAAACAGAAAGTTGGGAGCTAGTGTAAAACTAAAAGTTTGGAGCTAGTGTAATTCTCTAGTGTAAGTTTCTGGTAATTCTCTGGTCAGGGATTGTATTACTAAACTATAATTACAACTGCCTACTTTTAAAGGAAACTATTTTTTTATTCTAGCCGGAGATTTGATTTATTGAAAAAAATTCTCAATATTCAATATCCTCTACAGACGACATAAACAGAATGATTTAACGTGTATGTATTGGATCATAAGGTCTGTCATTAAATCTAGTAGCGTGGTTTCGATTCCCCGCTTGTACGTGACAATGAGTAGGGTCGTCGGCCAACTTCTTGAATTTTCGCGAAGGCGAATTATTGAACTACAATTGAACCATATGTTAGTCTCGAAATGACCTAGTTTGTGTAGAGTAGGCGTTAAACCACCCCCTCTCTCTCTCTCTCTCTCTCTCTCTCTTTCTGTCTCTCTCTCTGTGATTCGTTCAGACTATGGTAAGATAACGATAGCTGTCGTGTGTTAAATCTGGTCAATGGTTGAGCTCTGTCAGTTTGAACCATAATTTGACAGAGAAATCACGGCACCGAATAAATTCTATTGATTAAAGAAAAGTTTTATAGGCGTCTCGTTAATGTTAGAACTAGCTGTTACCTATGTTACAGCACTGTTACATCAGTATAACACGACTGTTACATCTATAACACGGCTGTTACACCTATAACACGGCTGTTACACCTATAACACGGCTGTTACATCTATAACACGACTGTTACATCTATAACAAGACTGTTACATCTATAAACATCTATAACAATACCGTTGGCTATTTGATTAAAATCTGATGTTAATTACGCTTGGTTTTACTTTTTAGGTTATTCGTAACCATGGTATTTAGGTTGAGGGTAGATTTTTATCGGAGCACTCTGTTTAATCAACATGCTCCAGGGTAGAGTTAACTCAGTCTAGTTCAACAATTGTCATTAGTTACAATACGTCATCAATCGTAATTATCAGGTAATCTTTAAACGTAAATATTGGTATTGAGAGAGATATAGAGGGAGAGAGGGTTTAAGTCCACTCGACACAAACTAGGACATTTCGGGACTAACACACGGTTCAATTTTATTTCAATAATTCGCTTGCGCGTGGGGGGTCTCTAGCAGTGGGAGGAAACCGGAGGACCAGGAGAAAACCCACGAGGTTGGACAGGCAACCCCGCTCCTTGTCACGTACAACCGGGGAATCGAAACCCCGCCATTTGACTCAATGACAGACCGTATAATGCAGCGTACACGTGCTAACCCCCTCCCACCCCACTGTTATTGTGAATTCCGAGAACGTTCATCGGGACTTTTCAACGAGGTTTCCCCTTTTCAGTGCTGCACGACGGAGGGCCTGACAAGGACAGCTGTCTAGTCGTTCGGAGGGAAAGAAAAAACGAGGTCCCGTGTAT